AAACTTGCAGGATCTAGTATCCATTATGAGTCCCACAACTTGTATATCTCGGATTTTTCCTAAAGGTCATATGAGGTCAGGTCATTTTCGTGACCTCACCATTATAAGTCAATGGGGAAAAATGAAAACTGCTATTCTGGCGCCGGGAACGATCTCCAACTATCTCAAGCACACAGAATCGTGATTTTATGCACTCCTTGCAAGGTTATATGCGTCACTTTTGCAATGTTGACCTTGCGTGACGTCATTTATGACGTCATCAAGGTCATATGAGTTTTTCGTCAATACCTCCCGATCAAATTGAGCTAGCGAGTCGGGAAAGCCACCAATGGACTCAGGAAGACCTGCCGAATCGAATGATATGCAACATGACCTCTTTCGACCAACTTCGTGACCTGGGGGTGCTGACCTGACCTTGACCTGAGGTCAACACCCCAAGTTGACCTGACCCGGACAAAAAGTATATCATTCGACGCGCCTGAGCGAGACGAACACGATGCTGCCAAAATCGGCGCTCTGCGGCCGTTTTTTGCGAAGTTATTCACCAAAAACTGAACCGTACCTTGGGGCACTTGACCTGACCTCAGAGGTCACCGGTTGACCTAGGACCTTAAAATCGGGTACCAATCTCTGCGTCTCGTAACGGCGCACACGCTCGTTTTTTCCGCGACGCGCTAGCTCCACCAGGGGCGAAACGGCGAGGGGGGGTCGTACCCGCCCCCCCCCCCCCCCCTCGGCCGGCGCGTATGTAGAAAACCAATAGGTCCGGCGAGGGTTAATATATCCACGATGTTATTTTTCGCCCACGACATTTCAAGTCGCGATACCGTGCGCCGTGCAACTTGCAGGGTGTGTGCTGTGTAGGTATCTGTGAGTAACGCGTAACTGACAATTTCTGCACTGCGCAACGCGCATGAATGTGAAATATTCCCACATTCAGTCAAGCCCCAGCGCTGTTGTGCGTTGTAAATAATGGCCTGGTGTGAAAACAAGAATCGTGCCGCATGCGAGTCAGGCTGAACTACCTACTTCCTCTGGCACAATGGATCGTTGAAGTCGGCTGTCATAGCGCAGTAGCTATCATCGCACTTTTGTTGGTCAATTGCTAAATGGCCCCTGGGTGGTAATGTCTAGGTTATCATTGTCTGCGTTGAATGATACGGGCATTGTTAGGTTTGCATTGTGAGGGTGAAGGAAAGCTATGTTAGCCTATCTCTTTCTCCCGTTGTCCTTTCCCTTCCCTGTTTTTTGTTTATGTCTCTATTCTCTGCTCAGTTTGTTTCAATCAGTTTTCCTGTCAGCCTCGTTATTCTTCCATCTCTCCCTCCCTCCCTCCCTCCCTCCCTCCCTCCCTCCCTCCCTCCCTCCCTCCCTCTCCCTCTCTCTCTCTCTCTCTCATCCTCTCTCTTTTTCTTTCTCTCTCTCCCCCTCTCTCCCTCTCTCTCTTTCTCCCTCTCCCTCTCCCTCTCTCTCCCTCTCCCTCTCTCTCCCTCTCCCTCTCTCTCTCCCTCCCTCTCTCTCTCTCTGTCTCTCTGTCTCTCTGTCTCTCTGTCTCTCTGTCTCTCTCTGTCTCTCTCTCTCTCTCTCTCTCTCTCTCTCTCTCTCTCTCTCTCTCTCTCTTTCTGTCTCTCTCGTCAGTGTCACCCCATTCCTTTGTCAGTCTCTACCTCTGCCTTATATCTGTCCCGCCACAAAAACTTATTGGAAGCGAGCCGGAGAAGTCACGGTTCGCTGTCTACCCTGGAGCCCGTCGATAATGCTTTGCCGCGCTTTGTCCGTCGGCATATTGTAGTGATGTTCTCTGGGATGTGCTCTGTCGTCGTTCTTCTGGTCGTGCTCTCTGGGCGTGCTCTGAAACGTGCTCTGAGACGTGCTCCATGCCATGCTCTCTGGGACGTGCTCTGTCGTCGTTCTCCTGGCCGTGCTCTATCGTCGTTCTCCAGGCCGTGCTCTTAGACGTGCTGTCTGGCCGTGCTCTGAGACGTGCTGACGTACCGTGCTGCGGCCCATCGATATCCGACAGAGGCCGGTCGGGTCTGGCAGTACAGCGACTATCGCAGACACCAGTCCTGTCTCCGCCGGGAGGATGAGTTGATGGATGCCAAGTATGAGTCGTTGTGTTGGTAGGATCCGCTGGCCTGTCCCGGCGCGGCTGGCAAACTGACGGAAACGCTGTCAAATCCCAATCACTCTACTTGGTAAGAATTGGGCCCAGGTTATCGTATTGGTAATTCAGTTCAACTTTACCAATACGGACACGGTTGCCTGGGCCTAATCATTCCAATCATTCAACTAATCATCAACTAATAATTCTACTTGGTAAGAATTGGCTCAGGATATCGTATTGGTAATTCAATTCAACTTTCGACCTCCTTGCTCAACATTCGATGACCTGATTTCGTCCGCCTTTTGTGTTCAATTAGTCAGTCATACGATAGTCATGCCCCGATGCGGAGGTATGCCTACTTTACATTTCCCATCCTGAACAGACTCTGTGGCGCCTTTTATGTCCAGCCTAGCCACGTGCGGCACTCGCGATCTTGTGCCAAGTTGATGCTATCTTCTGAGTCAGAGCTTTTTGCGCTGAGAGGGTTGTTCTGTTCTCCTATGCTAAACATTCGTTGTTTCTGCCTAATCGCTGGTTGATACAGAAACAAGCTGATCTTCAAACTTACTGCAGTATCGTGAGTTGTCAGAGCACGCTTCTGCATTTTTGCATTTTATTTCAGTGCAGGTTTTTGCGCTGGCATGTCTGTCCGTGCTCGCTTTTGCAGAGGTCTGATGTATCCGAAAATGACTGATGCGTGTAAGCACACAATTATAACATCCCACTTCCCATCTCCTCCCACTCCATCCCATCCCATCTCCCATCTCCCATCTCGCCGTGCCGGTGACCCCCGGGCCGTCGCCGGCGGTTGTGGCCACGTCGTCTCGTCACGGTTGGCCTCTCACGAGCCGCGCGCTCCACCGCCCCGGGCTGAGGGTAGAGACGCTGGCTGGGTAGGGCTGGGCCCGGCTATGGCTCAGGCTATGGCTCAGAATGTGGTGTAACTCTGCTCCAGTCGGCTGTGGCTTTGAGCTGTGGTTTGGTTTGGTGTGGTTGTTGTGTGGTTGGGTCTGGAAGAGTGCATGCTTTAGAGAGGTTTTGTTGCAACGGTTCAGGTCGTGACCGGTCAGCCGTGAACGGGTGAGATGACTGAAGATGGAAGGCTGAGACGAGCTGTTGACTAGTTAGATGCGGGAAGCTGGAAATGACTCTAGTTTACAACTTAGATGTATGTTGCGGACGTGGATGCTGAAACATGCTCAGCACTGAACAGATACTGATTCACACAAACTTTGGAGTTGTTTGCTGGTGAGATGCTGACTCGGGATCGATACTGAACTGGAGCTGATTTGACAGATTAAAACACAGACGCTGACATGAGGCTAAGCCCGCATACCTGGCACGGTCCAGCGTCCAATCTAATTGTCCCTGCCGTTAATCGTAGGTGAACGCTCTCCTGAGCCGCCATTTAACCTGTCGTAAAATCTGTCAGCCTCGGAGATCCTCACATATACCGAAAAACTCTGAACTATCGCTCCATCCGGTCGTCAGTCTTGTTTTCGTTTGGTTTACCGGTAGGTACGTTATTGCCGGAGGGCTGGTGCGCGGTTGATGGTATGTTTTGGGCTGCTCAGTTATCCGTGGTAGACCGCTACTTATCTCGGCCTGGGAAGCGTTGATTAGTTGCTCTGGACGTTGGTGATTCGCGCTTGGGTGATTCGGATGCGTAACCGCGCATTATTGGGCGTGATAGAGGGGTGGGGGTTTTGGAGTCGGGAGACCGTGACGGGCCCTTGGTGACAGGTCATACATATGCAGGAGTTAGCCACAAGTAAAGCTTTTAGGTATACGGATTTGGACCTATCTTGTCCGAATCACTAAATGGTTTTTATCTGATAATTCGATGTTCATTCGCTAGTTTAGTGATATGAGTAGTGATTTTAGTGATCGCTAGTTTAGTGATTCGACCTCCAACTTTGAACATACAATCTTCAGTCAAAGATATCACCTGTCACAACTGATCTGGAACGATAACTCTGATGGGGTTATAAGTGCTCTAAGAGGAGGCGTCATTTTTCACCCATTCATTGGTATTCACTGTTTGGTAGACTGATGACGTTTTAATGTCGGAATTAACTCCATCGCCGGTGTTCCTTAGTCGGCACTTTTGAAGTGTGACCGAAAATACACAGGAAGCCGTCGGATGGTCAGCGCGCATGTTGCAAATGGCTTCGGTCACGCCATGCGTGATGACACTGCATTCGGGTGTTGATTTACATTCTATTCGGGGTTTCTTCAACGGTACACTGTTTTGATGTATCTGAATGAGATACTCAAACCTGTTAGTGGTGATTTGATTAAGATTTGGCCATGGCGTGCAAGAAACACGTTTTGTTCTTAAGTGCCGTATTTCTTTAATGTTTCGTCCATCTGCCAGTGTTTTTGTGACTATCGATTTTCTTACATGCCGCACTGTGTGTATCGAGACTAATGGCCTATGTATCTCCACTTTTTGTATCTCTTTGACTGGCAACAGTTTTTTTTGCTCCGCTTCAGACCGTCTATCCAGTACATGGTCCCATCACTCTAATACCCTGACCTCGTTGTCTCTCTGTTTTCAGATTGTGCATCCAGTACATCATGCCGTCCGCCCACCTCTATTTTCCTGACCATTCGTCTCTCCCAGTACCATCTCTTTTTAGCTGACCTCTCGTTGTCTCTCCGTTTCAGATTGTGCATCCAGTACATTCTGCCGTTTGCCCACCTCTATTCGCCTGACCGCTGTTGTCTGCCCCAATACCGCCTCTATTTACCTGACCTCGCGTTGTCTCTCCGTTTTCAGATTGTGTATCCAGTACATCATGCCGTCCGCCAACCTGTATTTTCCTGACCGCTGTTGTCTGCCCCAGTACCACCTCTATTTAGCTGACCTCTCGTTGTTTCTCCGTTTCAGATTGTGCATCCAGTACATCATGCCGTCCGCCCACCTCTACCTCCGTGAGGAGGAGGTGGTGAAGCTGATGCTGGAGTTCCTGCACAACCGTCAGCTGCACATCTCCCAACTCAGCGTCGAGCGAGAGGCCGGCATCATCAACGCCAGCCTCAGCGACGACCTGCTCTTCCTGCGGCAGCTGATACTAGACGGGCAGTGGGATGACGCGATAGAGTTTGTCCAACCTCTTACTAGCGTGGAGAGTTTCGACACCAAGAGGTTTCACTATGAGGTACTCAAGGTGAAGTATGTGGAGTTGTTGTGTATCAAGTCGGAGGCGGGCGCGCAGGATAACATGGAACAGGCTGTGGAGGAGGTGGTGAAGGTGCTGAACGAGCTGGAGAAGTACTGTGAGTCGAAGGAGGAGTATGCGGCGTTGTGTCTTCTTCTGACGTTGCCAAGGCTCGGTGATCATAGTGAATACCGGGACTGGAATCCGAGCGCTGCGCGCGTGGCCTGCTTTCGAGCCGTGCTTCCACTCGTGGAGAAGTTTCTACCGAGTGAGCGCAAACGCGGCGGAGAAAGACAGAACGAGTGCGCGAGTAACGATCGTCTGATTCAGCTCCTCATCAAAGGCATACTCTATGAGAGCTGCGTGGAGTACTGTCAGCAGAAGGCGACCAGTGGAGGCACGGAGGCCAGTGGTGAGATGCAGTTCAGTAAAGTTCTCAGCGGTAACGGGTTCTCTGACTCGGACCTGAGCTTGTTGTCCTGGCTGCAAAGCATCCCCGCGGATACCTTCGCCTGTCCGTTCGAGCAACGAACGCTAAACGTGGATGTGGAGCGGCTAGAGCGACCACAACTGGACGCCTTCTGGACCGAGTATATGCTCGTCACGCCGATCAAACCCAAGACGTTCCCTCACTCGGTGATGCCCCAGGCGAGGCCCAAGTCCGCGGACGTGATGTCGCGCTCGCTGAACCCGCAGTTGGAAGGCCTTCCGCTGGGGCTGGGCGCCACGCGGGCGGCAGCGGCGGCAGGAGCGGCGGCTGATGCTATGTCACAAAGTCTTGCCAGCTTCCACCTAACCGGCCGGAAAACCATGAACACCTCAGTAGACAGACTATTTGACAGTGACACCGCCGCGGGCGGGAACGAACTAGCGACGATCGCTGAGCGTCACGAACCACCCACATCACAAGTATCACCCTCTCAGCCTCCCGCGCCTCCGCCCCCTCCAGCGCCTCCCAAGAGCACAACTAGCACCACCATCTCATCAGGAAGTGACCGATCCAGCTCCATGGGGTCGACGCGTCGACCAGCCCCCGCGACACCCTCCGACTCTGAGCGCGGGGACCGCGGCTCTCGTCCCAGCTCCAGACCGTGCAGCGAGGCGTCGGAGTCTCCCCAGTCCATCCGGAGGAGAACTGAACCTCCCCACCCCTCCCCGGCCCCTCTGTCGGCGGCAGGGGGAGGGGGAGGGGATCTGTACCAGGAGTTCCAGCGGGGGAGACAGAGGCTTCAGGAGCAGCTGGCGGAGCACGAACAGCGGCGGAACCAGTATGTGCAGCAATTATCGGGTGATAACCGGTTCAGCGAGGATGGCTACCGGCAGTCGGCCGCCTACAGCCCGTGAGTACTCGAGCTGTATTTATATAGTCTGTCACATAGTTCTATAGAGTAGTCTGTGAGTCTATTATGCATCAAGTCTGCGATCGAAGTTCCTTCAGCAGATCTTTTCTTCGCTCAATGACTTGCATCTCGAAATGTAAGATCCATGCGTACATAAATCACTTCAGCTTTTAGTAGGGCACTTCGGCCGCAAGCTTGATGTGGGAGAGATCATGGTTGTGTGAATACTGTAATGTTTTTATATTCCGTGAGTACCTACTGAGATTTCCGTAGTGTTTACTGATCGTGAGTGCTTAAATATCCGTGCGGTAGCGTGATGTCCTTAGTTCGTACAATCCGTGAATATTGTGATGTCTGCACAGTTTTTAGTTGTCCGTGAAGTCCGTGACCAGAGGGTTTGTGCGTGGCCAGCAGAGTTTCGCAAAATTACCTGTCATCTACAATTTCATCCCATAAACATTCATCGCATCTTTTTATCAGCCCTCAGAATCGCTCTTGTAGTTTTCGCAGTGCGTCTGTCCCCGAAATCATCTCGTAGTCGCCATTTTCTCATCCTCTTTCTGTTGTGACTGGTCTGTAGATTGGAATTGTGAATTATGCGACAGCATACGTCGGGCGCTGAAGAGTTATTGAAGTGATAAAGTTGTCACCGGGGTTATTGAGTTGAAGACATTGTCAAACGTAGATTTGGTTGCGCACAGACGAATGATATTCGTGGTGTCAAAGCTCTTAATGGGTTGTTTTGACGTCTCGGTACCCGGTTCAATTTATTTTCAGATATGAAAGCGAGCTGGTTGTCGGATAGGGGAACCGCGTTGGATTGTTTGGCTATGGTGGACAGTAATCTCCCAAAAAGCTCGCTGGAATAACTGAATGCAAATGTAATGCATGCTGATACAAATGACCTGGGTAGTAATGCAGACATTGACATTCATAGGGTCATTTACGATTCCTCGCGTCTTCTTCCTTCCACCCTATATATCACTGTTAATCTCACTGGCGGCGGGCTGTCGTTCGTTCGTTACCCTTCTCTCCTCTTCCCCCTCTCTCTCTCTCTCTCTCTCTCTCTCTCTCTCTCTCTCTCTCTCTCTCTCTCTCTCTCTCTCTCTCTCTCTCTCTCCATCCTATCATCACTTCCTATCCTCATATTTCATCTCCTCTCACAGTTGTGTGCTCGATGATGGGTATCCCAACCCCGCCATATGTCACTGCTAGATTACAGCCCAGATTACAACCCGATGACAGCGAGATGACTGCGCGATGACAGCGCGATGACAGTAGATGACAGTGGGGATGCCTGATGCTAGACCTGTCTCTGACCATATGGTGTTCTCCGCGTGGCTTATGCTGTGGCTGGCCCATGGCATTGACCCTTACAGCTTGGTGACGGCTATTGGTCGGAGGATTAATCGATGTACGGTATCTGTGTGTGGATAGATACGTTTTAGGGGGGGGGGGGTCGTAATTGATTGAGGCGCAAATATTTAGCGATGACAATCTACCTGGAAAGGAGTTGAGATTGGTATAGCGCTGGGAATAATATGAACTCTATAATGCGTAGATTTTGAAAAATATGCACATCTTCTAGATACGAGTACGACGTTATAGCGTTATAGCTTGATCCTAACATGCAGAGTCGTTTACAAACTCCTCGCCACATATGTATGTAAATGCGTCACAGATGTCGTTTTTCATCGTACGCAAACGGCCAGGCTTCCCAGGGCTGTTCATTTCTCCTGCAGATGGTGCCGAAGTCAGACGGCTAATCTTTCACCAGTATACGTTCCTGTGAAGTGGACAGATCGTTTGTTTTTGTTTGATGGGTGTGTCTTGTCCTGTGTATGTTTGTTGGTATGTTTGAGAGGTAGTTTCGTTGTAATGTATGTTCAGATGTTTGTTTGTAAACGGTTTGTGACTATGGTTTTGTGACCCTGCAATCCCGTCTATTGTTACTGAATAATTGACTGACTTTCCTTGTATAATGTGCATCAAATTATTGCAGTTTGAACTGAAAAACGTCTTCAATTGTCGATTTATCAATATTGTGTACCCAAACCCACGCTCACGTTTGGTGGCTCGTATATTTACCGTCCTGGTGATCTGCAATTGATTTGTCACCCACGTCCCCTGCAAGCTCCAACCATGACATCCCTAACCTCTCCCCATTGTTTTGTTTCAGGGCACACACCGTGTACGGTCACATGAACGGAGCTCCGCGGCCCAGCGGCCCCCCTCCGGCCCCTCCGCACCCCCACCACCACCCTCCCCACCCCCCTCCGCACCCCTCCGTCCCTCCGCATCCCGCGGGGGGCTCGGTACCGCCGTCGATCTCAGGCACACCTCACAGGCAGGCGGTGCCGGTGGCCCAGAATGGTGTCTATCAGGCGGTCAATGTCAGCAGGTGAGTAGGGGAAGGGATGGAGGTAGGGGGACGAAAGGGATGGTGTTGGGGATGGAGAAGGGATGGGTGGCTTTAGGGACGGAGAGTTTGAGAAAGAGAGTTAAGAGAGGAGAAATGGATGGTGGTCTTGAATGCTGCTAGGTTCAGTGATTGCTAACCTTTGTGACATTTTACGTTTTAGTATGCTGCTACATTCCACATTTGTTAATATCCGTCAGTGTTATGACGATATGATGTGCTGATAAATATAACCTTTGTTAATACATGTCAGTGGTGGTCTGGAAATAGAAATGCTGGCTGCCACCACAGTTTTATCGTTTCTGACGCAGCTCTAGACGTCTGCTCCCAGTTATTGCATTCGTATTGATCCGGAGCAATAAATTTCATTGCGTCAGTCCAGAGGAGGTTATGTATCTCACGTACATATGTGCTGCCTGAGATGTGATGGATAGCGGGCTATTTTTGTAGGTCTGTCTGAGAGATTATCTGTTGGATGTTTCCAAGGCAACCGGTGGTAGATGTGTATTTGCGTTATTCTGAGAGGTTCTTGTGGCACTTTTTATTCATTGGATGTCAGCAGGGTTCCCAGCCTTGGGTTTCAAATTAGATTTTAATTCACCAGTGATTCCCTGACTTGGAAGTCAACGTAGATGCGGCAGCACCACTGTTACATTCCCTCGTTATATTTTCCTTTGTTTTATATTTAAGTCATCTCTTTTTAACCTTCATTTTTTCTTTCTCTGTCTCTCTCCCCTCCATTCCTATATTTCTCCTCCCTCTTCTGTCTTTCTCTGTTCCTCCCTCATTCTCTCTCTCTCTCCCTCCATCCCTCCCTCCCTCTCCCAATCGCCCACTCGCCTCCCCCACCCCACCTTTTAGTGTGATTGCTCGGGGACCCGCCGGAGCAGACGGCAGCTCAGAGCTCCGCTAAAACGCCGACAAATTTACCGGCAATACCTGGGAGACAGGTGGGAGTGAGGCATTACTCTCGGAAAGGTTACTAACCCAGTAAAGGTCCAGAACGAGCAATCATCGACAAAAGGCTAGAAGCCGAACCCTTTGTTGGCTCTTGGGGTAATGATCCTAATAATTAGTTTCTTAACCTACCTGGGATGATTCATCAGCAAAAACTTGCTTGAGGCGCTCCTTGATGAAATCTTGCTGTAGGCATTCACTCATTACCAGCTTTAGGAGTGGCGCCGAGCAACGAATACCTGTCGTATACCTGACGAATGCCTGACTGGCGGCTCCCGTCCCACAGCTCTCACCAGCTGTCAAACAAAGCTGATCGTTTTTTTCCTCGTTTCAGGGGTATGAGTCCCAGCATGACTCGGCAGCGGGCGCCGCCTCCCCGCGCTCCGGGCCACACGATCATGGGAGAGCTGCCTCCCGACCCGGCCGGACTGCAGGCCGGCATCTATGACGCCAACAAGGTAAGTTCAAGTTCGCCGCGCCGCCGCTAGGTGGCAGCAAGTGTGTCGGCGGATGGCTAAGCTGGCAGTTGTGAGCACGAAAGGAATCCACGAGAAGAATGAATTGGATATCGGGTTTCATTCGACAGCATATTTCTGCGGGGAATTTTAACAAGCCTTCTCCATACCGTTATCATGCTTTCGTAATACGGCGGCTGAAGCCTGAAACCGAACCAGTCATCTCTTTTCGATAGAATTTGAGACCGGCATCCCAGGCGCTTTACGCTGGCATTGTAGCGGTGGAGCCAGCGTTCGGGCCATTGGAGTCCCAGCTACGGGCTGTTATGATGGTTTGAATGGTCTCTAAAAGCGTCTGAATGCCGTAGAAACACCTTGCAGAATATTACTCGCCGAACCGGAACGAAGTGGGGAAGAAGGAAACGTGGGCTCAAGCGAGTCGTTGGAATTGAATTGAACTGTCGGCTTATGTGTCTAGGGGGTCATACAATTCGAGACATGTGGAAGGTATAAGGTCGTCGTGCTGGTATGTTTGTGGCAGGCTAGTTGAAGCTATCAAAAGCAGGCGTTCCACCATTTTCCTGTTATCGAGTTTCGAGTGTTTGGTTGGAAGAATTAGAATGACGTGTTATATTGTAGCCAATGGCGTGGTGGAATTTCTAAGTGTTTTGCCGACTGGATGGTTCATTGTAATCTGGTGGTACAAAACTTGCCCCGACACTAACAGTAGCAACACCATCAGTACGTCATCATGCTGCACTGTATGCGGCTCAACCCAGGCCCGACACATCCACATGCCTTTGTGACGTCATTTTTACGTCATGCCTGACGGAACTGCTACAGTTCACCGCTCTACCAACTGAGCTACCAGAGGTCGAGTCATCGTGGCTATAAACAAACGAGAGATGTGATGTGCTTTCACCCAACCTTGACCAGTAGTTGATCTGATTTCTCGAGATTGAGGCCACTAAATTGGAATGATGAGCGCCGAATTGGTAATGAATCACTGAGCGAAAGCAAAGAGCTGTTATTGCAATAGCTTGATGCGAATAAATGGGCGAACCCTTTGAGGGCACCATTAGTCTTTATTATATCCTGTTATCGTTAGGTGATGATACAAGTGATTGCCCTTGTTAGCAGTTGATACTGGCTACCAGCCAATCATATCACTAATCACTATGTGTGCGTAGGCGTACGCCACGTCGTAGTTCTTAATGATATTCCGAACAAAGTCATCGGTGATGTTTAGGTACCGTTTGGCTATTCACCGTCCTTTTGATAGGCGTTCACTTACCAACTTCTCCGCAGGCAATGTTTATCCGCGGTTTAACACGTAACAATCCAAACGCATCAATATTCACCATCAAACAAACTCCGCGGAAACTAAAAACGGTAGAATTTCCACCAGATGTCCAAAGTGCCGGTCATCGTCATGAGAACGACCTTCCCACGACCTCCGCCCACTGCGGCCCGGGAGGGGCGATCAGGAGCGCTGAAACCGTGGGCGACTCGGCTGCGGAGAATATGACGTCACTGGTGACCAGCGCCATTGGAGTGATGTCACTGGTGGGCGGGACCCGGGCGTTCATTGGCTGCCCACGCGTGATGGTGGGGGTTGGAAGGAGAAATGGAAGGGCAGGTCGTGCAGAGAAGTGGTGAAAATGTGCGAGACGGGATTTGGTAGTCGTGTGATGACGGTGCATGGAAATTCTGGCTCTAATGAAGATGGGTTAGAGATGGATTTGAAAAAGAAACACACCTGCCGCCTGCATATGGTGAGGAATAATTGAAGCAAAATTGTACGGTAATTAGTGACAGACGGGAGCTTTATGTAGTACGGACTTTTCGGGAAATCCTGCCGGAAGCAGTCTTAGGATTTTTCTTGGACTTTTATGGTGTCATAGTTCAACGAACGGCTCATCATCTGTCGATCCCCTCCCTCTCCATTAGCAATCAATCGATATTCTTGCCCTGTCCCGCTCATCGACTCTCTCCCGTCGTTGACCCACGTGAGTCCACCTGTACCCGTTCGTACCTCTACGGCACGCGCCACATGTCAGACACTTACTGCCCGTGGTAAACAACTCTGAGCACGAATTGGGTTTCAGTTACCAGGCCTGTGGTCGCTAGGGACACGTGTACTGGTGTTAGCCTACCAGGTGGAAAGGTGTTACTCTACCTCTCGTAATGATGCGAGCTGAACACATGTAAAGGTGTTATTCAACATCTTGTACTGATGTTAACTGAACACGTGATAGTGTTAAACGGGCAAGTCTAATGGTGTAACTCGAGCTCATGTAATGGAGTGTTAGTGTGGGTGGTAATGGGAGTATCTGGCTTGCGTGGCACTGATGAATACGAGATAGCCGACTTGGATAAATGGTCGTGGGTGTAGGTTTACGTGTGGTGAGGGTGGTCCTTTCTGGCTGCTTCGCTAGGTGGTAGTGCCAATGTCAGAGTTTTTACACGCTGGAATGAATGATTATCTTATTTTCGTGTTTACACCTTTTCTCCAATTGTGTGCTTAGAGCTCTTTTAACTTCTACACCTCTCTCTCTCTCTCTCTCTCTCTCTCTCTCTCTCTCTCTCTCTCTCTCTCTCTCTCTCTCTCTCTCCCTGTCTCTCTCTCTCCCTGTCTCTCTCTCTGTCTCTCTCTCTCTCTCTCTCTGTCTCTCTCTGTCTCTCTCTCTCTCTCCCTCTCTCTCTCTCTCTCTCCCTGTCTCTCTCTCTCCCTCTCTCTCTCTCTGTCTCTCTCTCTCTTCTCTCTCTTTCTCTCTCTCCCCCCCTCTCTCTCTCTCTCTCTCTCTCTCTCTTTCTCTCTCTCCGCCCACTGGACTCCCAGGTACCTAATGGCTTTCAGATTGGTCCGGGAGGTTTTACTGAGCTTCCATCACGCCCCGCCTGCTCTCTATGTAAATGAGCGTATCGCAAGGATGCGTCAGCTCGCCTCTTTTATACCGCACGTGGGTTTTGGCCACAAAACAGCGGCGTATGGGGCTCTGATCCGGCCGACAGTTCAGCGTTCAACGTTTTGTTCAACGCAGTCACCCTTTTGGAGGAGTTTTATATTGAAGAGCGAACGGTTATCCTAGAATGAAATGAAACGGTGGGAGTCAAACTTTAAGTTAACTTTGGATAATGCTTTTTTCGTGAAGCTAGTGGCTGCGCTTAGCCAAATTTTGAAGGGCTCGAGTAAACACTGAATTGCATGATTTTGGTGGTTTTTCTTTGGAACTGCGAGGCTTCTTTTTCTTTTCACTCGCTATGACCAAGCATTGCTATCAAGCTTTTACAGGCTGCGGCAAATTTAGGGGTCTATTTGCGTTTCCCCCTGAATGCAAAACTCTTGAGCCCCCAATGCCACCCCTACCGCCGCCCTTCTCGAAACGGCGCTCTGGAACAATCGTAATCGTTTCTCTGAACGGTCGTCTGGTCACGGCTTCTAGCCATGTTGGGCACGAGGCTATTGTGTGTGGTTGGGGTGTGGGTGTTCCTGAGAATAGTTGATCGTTCCCCTTTGACCTCCCGGCTCTCTCCCGGCTGCATTATCCTCTCTCTCTCTCTCTCTCTCTCTCTCTCTCTCTCTCTCTCTCTCTCTCTCTCTCTCTCTCTCTCTCTCTCTCTCTCTCTCTCTCTCTCTCTCTCTCTCTCTCTTTCTCTTCAGCTGCTCTTTTCCTCTACCTCTCTTCCTCTTCCCTATCCACATCCATCCGTACTCTCCTATACCTTCATACCCCTCTCCACCGTCCTTCTTATAGCCCACGCCTCTCCTCTTTCCCTTATATTCCGTCCCCCATCACTATATCAGGCCACTGCCCCCCCCCCCCCCCACCACCACCACTAAGGTAGCAGCCAGCCCGGGTATTACATAGGTCAAACCCTGAACATCTCCCTCACAATGTCACCACCGTGATGTCGCTCACCAGCGGGTGCTGATCTGCGCAGTTCTGGTGACCTGAGCACAGGCGAGGGCGTCATCCAGATATTATGAGGGCGTTGTCGCACTGGTGAGAGCAGGCTTCGGTGTGATTGGTCGTGGCATGACTACGGAGATGGTGTGGTTAGAATAACAATTAGGGAACGTTGGGCTATCTTAGGGTGGTGGTGATCATGGGTTTGATTTTGCGTGTGTTTTAGGCAGCTCTTCTGTCCAAAAATAAGATGTCGCTTCGCTTGGGTCCTTTTGGTTTGTTATTGTACAGGTTTCATAAAAGACAATGCCATAATAGGTTTGTCTGAGATACACTCACTGACTTGTGGGAGATAAGCTCGTGATCTGTGAAAGGTGAAATCCAGGACCCATTTACGATGGGAATCTGCTATGCGGCAGGGCCTTGTCCAGGTCCGGGAGTTCTTAGCGGAGTTTTTGTCGGGGTGCTTTGCATATGATGGCCTGATCATGTCAGATGATATGTGCGGCGCGTGCAAAGATGGGAGACGGCCCGGACGGGTCTTGTCAGAGATGTGATTTGTGACGGTTGACGACGATGTGTGACACTGGAAGGGCATGTAGGGCCGTGTGAGCTGAAGTGCGTATTTGGTCAAATATAACACTTGCTCTTGTGGCTGAGAGTAAAGCGCGAAAAAATATGAAGAGTTTTGAAAATTATGTAGATAATTTTTTTTTAGAGGGTAATATGCCCTCCCGGGCCACTCGCAACGTGCAAAGCCCCCTTTGTGGATATGCCAATGGCTTTTATGAGTTTTCCTAACGAAGGACTTGTATCCTCTTTCTCTTGTCTTGACTCCTTTGTGCGCTTTTCGTCTATATTTGGTCGGCTTTTAAGCCCCGTGAACCGAACGGGGATATCTGATTCGACCAGGCTAGCCTCGGGCCGTGTGTGATGCATCACTCTGTTAGGAGATAGCCATAAGCCAATCACTAGGTGACGGGGTAGATTTGAACAGACCTTATCGCCTTTCGGGGCCTTATGGAGTCGCCGTTTGATGGATGGTGTTCATTTAGCTGACAGCAGCTCTGACGGCTTTGTTAGTCCGCTGGA